TTTTTTAAGAGAGAATGTATATTTTTTTAATTGGGAAAAGAGAATGTTACAAATTGTTCCCATAGAAAGTATTAAATCCCAGCTTAATTTTTTCTTGTAAAGTAGAACAAGCTTTTTCAACCATTATTTTCTTTTTTAGCCATGCAACAGAAGTTTAATGTAGAAGCTGTTAAAATCTCACCAGCTTCATTTCTGTGGTACTTTTTTCCCAGAAAATATCAAGTTGCTTTGTTTAGCTGACACCATACTGTAGTCAGGTTTTTATTTACAGAGCTTATTGCCATCTTGGCCACATTCCATAGGAGCAATTCTCTACGCTTGGACCTAATCTATTATGTTTATTTTGAGCTCTAATCTTCTAACTTGTTAGCAGTTTTACCCAACTTGTTTTATTTGGTAAAGATACTGATATTTACTTCAACCGTGTCTCCCGATACAGTGTAAATGATACTAACAGAGAGCAAATTAGTCAGAATCTGAAAATATTGGATCCATGTTATGATTCTGTAAACATCATTCACTATGTTAACATGAATAAAGGAGTAAACCATATGGTCAACCTAATAGATTTTAAACATTTCAACAAAATTAAACAGTTATTGAGAATGATCAATTAATGCATTAGCAAATCACAAATAGAAGAAAGCAATCTGGTTAAAACTTAAACTAATTGATAATAACACATTAAAACAGTTCTTATCAGGAAGAAGGTGCCTGCTGTTATCTTTTTTATTCAGTATTATTTGGAGGCCACAGCCAGACACATACACATAAAACTCAGAAATACAAAATATGATGACATGATCGTCTCTGTAGAAAACCTGTAGAAGTTATTAGAATAAGAAAGTTTGGCCAGGCTGCTGTATACAAAACCGGCCCATTACATTTCTGTGTATCATCAACAGACAGAAACTGCAATTAAAACTGAGAGGGAAGATCTTTATAGTCACTTTTCAAAAGTCACATACCTAGGAATAAGTCTTGGGAAAAAAAGAGTGTAATAATAAGACTTTCTGAAAGAGATAAAGCCTACTGAAAAGGAAAATTTATCATCCTGGTATATGTAATAGAGCTAGCATAGCAGATCAGTGAGGGAAAGACTAGATGGTTTGGTAAATGGTGCTTGGATAGTCATTTAACATGGAAGGAAAAAAAAAATGGATCTTTGTTTCAAATACAAATTCTAGATGAATCTTACACTTAAATATGGAAGTTCAAAACTTAAATACTGTGGAAGAAAATGCAAAATATCTTTACAATTTTGAGATAGGGAAGGATTTTTTAGGGACTTTTTTTCATCTGATTCTAATTACTTGCACTTTATTAACTTGAATAAAGAGTTCTGTAGTAAATGTGGCTGAGAATCTCAGAGGTTTATTTTGCTGAAATGGTAGATTAGGACTCCAGACGTTTGCTTAGTGCGTTCACCCTTCTGACTGCTTTAGATTCTAGTTTTTAGGTAGCCACAAAAAGAGGAGTATAATATATCAGTTGTCACTGCACACGGAGCATTTACACAAGGAATGCACCGAATTTACCTGTTTGGGCTGAAAATGTAAGCTAAGAAAATACCTTCCTGGAAGTGAGATTACAATGAAAAAATGTTGTTAATGGTAAATAAAAATTATTTAACATGAATACATTTAATCACTAGAATAAAACCACCTTGGTTTTAAAACCTCACTCCCTAGACCAGGCACGGTGGCTCTAGCCTGTAATCCCAGTACTTTGGGAGGCTGAGACAGGCAGATCACTTGAAGCCAGGAGTTCGAGACCAGCCTGGCCAACATGACAAAACCCCTTCTCTACTAAAAATACACTGCCATGCCAGGTGTGGTAGTGAGCACCTGTAGTCCCAGCTACTCAGGAGGCTGAGGTTGCAGTGAGCCAAGATCATGCCATTGCACTTCAGCCTGGGTGACAAAGCAAGACTCTGTCTCAAAAACACTGATAAAATCTCACTCCCTAAAGATATGGGATAGATGGCCTGGCCTTAGACTTCCTTAGGTCAGGGAATAGAGTTAGCAACAAGTCACCCCACCCAGAGACCTTCTGGTGCCATGGGTAGAAAAAAACCCATGACCGGGTGTGGTGGCTCACTCCTGTAATCCCAGCACTTTGGGAAGCTGAAGCGGATGGGTCATCTGAGGTCAGGAGTTTGAGACCATGGTTAGCATGGTGAAACCCCATTTCTACTAAAAGCACAAAAAAATTAGCTGGGCGTGGTGGCACACGCCTGTAATCCCAGCTACTGAGGAGGCTGAGGCAGAAGAATCACTTGAACCTGGGAGGTGGAGGTTGCGGTGAGCCGAGATCACGCTGTTACACTGCAGCTTGGGCAACAAGAGCGAAACTTTGTCTCAAAAAAAAAAAAAGAAAAAAGAAAACCACCCTTGTCTATCAGGAAGTATTTGGGGTAACTCCTCATTATGTAGTGACCAGTAGCACTTAAGCTACACCTCTGATTTTCAGAGAACCCAGGAGCAGTAAGGGAAAGAGCAAGAGCCCTGCCCAGAATGAGCCAGATTTGTGGTGAGGGGTGGGGGCTGGAGGAGACAGTGGTTCCCAAGACAATGGGAGTCTGTGCTCTCCTTTTCCTCCCCACTCCCTAGAACACTTGTCCTGGAAAGTAGAGAGTTGCAATAAAAAGAATGAGTAGCATCACTAGAAGCACAAGCAGCTCTGCTGTAGAGCCCACCTCTTTCACAAGCTGGAAACAAGCCTATCTCAACTCTCCCCGGAGAGAAAGGGAACTAGGGACCAAGGAGCAGGCAATGAGAAGCTTTCAGAGGAATCGTAAAGGAAGACGCTGGTATCCTAAAAGGCATGGAGGTCAGACAAGGGCACCACTGTACTGTGGTGTAGGCCGACTGTTGGCAGTCCTGCCATAGCAGCTGTCTGTTATCAGAGGCCAGAGGAGATTGGACACCTGGAGCAGATTGGCAGGTTGAATGGCAGCAGCTGAAGCAGAGGACTAAAAACCAGCAGGCCACTCTCATTCCATGTGACATCCATCTCTCCCACAAAAGTGCATTTGGAGATGTAACAAATGAGAGAGAGTGCCCGCTTGGCAGAAGACTAGACTGGTCATCCAGCGAATAGGGCTCCAATTTGAAAACCTCATCCAGGACTAACAAGCTGCTAGGCCATGGAGTCACTTAGAGTGTGTTAGGAAGAAAAAAGGCAGAGTGAGTCTAGATTCATGAGAATTGCGTTGACAAACCCAAGTTGAGTTGCCCAGCTTATTGCCAGGAATGTCTCTGGGAAAACGGAGACATCTCTCCTCAGAACATTCTCCTTGTCCTGCTCTAGTTTAAAGAGCAAATAGGAGTTGCTCTTTTAGCAGCAGGCTGAGACTCTTTAAAACACAGCTGGAAAACCCCAAAGTTGCTCTCGGTTCTAGCATTCTCTAAGCAAATGATGGTGAGACACATTTTCACCTGACTCCAAGTGCTGCTTCTCATCTAGTCTAGATGAGTGATTATTGTGGGCAAATGAGAGCAGTTTTCTAGGGCAGCCATAATCTGTAAAGCTGGGCTTAAAGCAACCACATAGCAAAGAGCTGAGAAATGAAAAAATATGTTTTCAGGTGGATAATCCGATTTCTAAAACTTTTTATTTACTCCGGAAATTTTCAAACATACCTATAAGTAGAATAATATCATGAACCCTTTCCTCCCATAACTCAGTCCCGACTTTACCATGTGCCCAACTTCGTTTTATCTATAAACCACCTCATAAATGTTTCAATTTATTTTTATTTTTTGTGAGACAGTCTCACCCCGTTGTCCAGGCTGGAGTACAGTGGTGTGACGACAGCTCACTGCAGTAATCACAGCCTCCGTGGGCCCAGGTGATCCTCCCACCTCAGCCCCTTGAGCAGCTGCAGCTACAGGCGTCACCCTCATGTCTGGCTAATTAAAAAAAAAAATTTTTTTTTTAAATTTTTTTTTAGAGATGGGGTCTTGCTGTGTTACCCAGGCTGTTCTTGAACATCTGGCCTCAAGAGATCCTCCCACCTTGACCTCCCAGAGTGCAGGGATTACAGGCATGAGCCACTGCACTTGGCCTTTTATAATTTTAAAGCAAATTCGGGCCAGGCACGGTGGTTGACATCTGTAATCCCTGCATTTTGGGAGACTGAGGCGGGTGGATCATCTGAGGTCAGGAGTTCAAGACCAGCCTGGCCAATATGGTGAAACCCCGTCTCTACTAAAAATACCAAAAATCAGCCGGGCATGGTGGTGGGTGCCTGTAATCTCAGCTACTCAGGAAGCTGAGGCAGGAGAATTGATTGAACCCAGGAGGTGGAGGTTGCAGTGAGCCGAGATAGTGCCACTGCACTCTAGCCTGACCAACAAGAGTGAAACTCCATCTGAAAAAAAAAAAAGAAGCAAATTCAAGCTATACCATTTTATCTTTATTTTTTTTAAGGACATAGCTTTTTTACTAACAAAAACTGTGTATTTGTGGTGTACAACATGGTGTTTTGAAATATGTATACTGCACATTGTGTGATGGCTGAATCGAGCTAATATATGCATTACCACATGCTTATTTTTTTATGGTGAAAACACTTTAAAGTTAAATTCTCTTTAGTGATTTTCAAGTATATAACACATTGTTATTAACTGTAGTCACCATGTTAGGCTGGATGTGGTGGCTCACTCCTATAATCCCAGCACTTTGGGAGACCGAGGTGGGTGGATCACCTGAGGTCAGGAGTTTGAGACCAGCCTGGCCAACATGGTGAAACCCCATCTGTACCAAAAAATACAAAAATTACCCGGGCATGGTGGCTTGCGCTGGTAATCACAGCTACTCAGGAGGCTGAGGCAGGTGAATCGCTTGAACCTGGGAGGCAGAGGTGCAGTGAGTCAAGATCACCCCTCTGCACTCCAGCCTGAGTGACAGAAAATATAAAAATATGGAGTGATACTCCATCTCAAAACAAAATGAAAGCCATGTTGTATAGTAGATTTCTTGGACTTATTTCTACAAAAAATATAGGACACTTCATGAATTTGCGTGTCATCCTTGTTCAGGGGCCATGCTCATCTTCTTTGTATCATTCCAGTGTGTAGTGTATGTGCTGCCAAAACAAGCATCCATTTCATCTTTTAAATAACTCGGTATGTATCTCTGAAACAGTGGGAGTCTTCCTTGCCTCTAAACCACAGTACTATTATCATGCATAAATAAAAGTTGCTTAATTATCATCAAGTATTTAGTTAGTATTCACATCTCCTTGATTGTCTCATAAATGTCATTTAGTAATTGGATCCAAAGTGGTGTTTAGTAATTGGATCCAAAATGGTGTTTAGTAATTGGATCGCAAAGTTCTTTTTTTTTTTTTTTTTTTGAGGGGGGGACGGAGTTTCGCTCTTGTTACCCAGGCTGGAGTGCAATGGCGCGATCTCGGCTCACCACAACCTCCGCCTCCTAGGTTCAGGCAATTCTCCTGCCTCAGCCTCCTGAGTAGCTGGGATTACAGGCACGCGCCACCATGCCCAGCTAATTTTTTGTATTTTTAGTAGAGACGGGGTTTCACCGTGTTGACCAGGATGGTCTCGATCTCTTGACCTCGTGATCCACCCGCCTCGGCCTCCCAAAGTGCTGGGATTACAGGCTTGAGCCACCGCGCCCGGCCTGGATCGCAAAGTTCTACATACTGTCTTTCATTTATGTCTCTTAAGTCTTTTTATTCTGAGTTTCCCCTTCCCTCCCCCATTTTTTCTTTCCATTTATTTTTCAAGAAACCTGGTCATTTGTTGTGTAGAGTATTCTACCATCTGGATACTGCTGGTTGTATTCCTGGGATATCATTCAACGTGTTCTTTTACTCCTGAATTTCCTGTGGACTGATGGTTATTTACAGAGGCATGGCCAGATTTATGTTTCAGTTTTTTAGCACAAAATTCATAGGTACACATACCATAGGTACTTCCTATGACATTAATCAGAGAGCATCTGCTCTCTGATTCTCTTCTTTCTGTAACATTGAGATTGGTTATTGGGTTTAGTCATTGGTAGTCTGACACATCCAAGATAAAGTTGCCTGACAGGCTTCCACCTAATGATTTTGCAGCTGTTGTTGATCATTGTCTTCATCCTTATTTCTTAGGTGCTACAAAACAGTGATCTTTCAATTCTGTCATTCCTTCTATATTTGTTAGCTGGAAATCTTCTATAAAGAAGAGCTTCCTTCCGGATATAGTGGCTTACGCCTGTAATCCCAGCACTTTGGGAGGCTGAGGTGGGCGGATCATGGGGTCAAGAGATCAAGACCATCCTCACCAACATGGTGAAACACTGTCTCAACTAAAAATACGAAAATTAGCTGGGCATGGTTGCGTGCGCGTGTAGTCCCAGCTATTTGGGAGGCTGAGGCAGGAGAATTGCTTGAACCCGGGAGGCGGAGGTTGCAGTGAGCCAAGATCGTGCCACTGCACTCCAGCCTGGTGCCTGGTGACAGACTGAGACTCTGTCTCAAAAAAAAAAAAAAAAAAAAAAAACCCAAAAACAAAAAATAAATAAAGAAGAGCTTCCTGCTACCTCCTTACAAAGTGATCTATATATTGATTTCCTAGCATCCTCCAAAGGTGATATATGAGCCCATGGATTGGATTTGTTTAAATCTATTACAGTATCTTTCCCCATCTTTGGTCAGAGGAAGCCCCTCTGGGTTGGCATCTGTGTCCATCTGATAGGATCCTAGTTGGTTTCATTGGTAATTTTTTTTAGTTATAATTTGTAGGCGATAACTCCATTGTCTTTGATAGCTGCCTTGCTTTCTGATAAGAAAAAAATGTTACAGGCTTACATTGTTTGTTTCCTGCCCCAGACATAGAGTCAGCTATTTCTCTAAGGAGCCGTATTTCATTGTAGTGGGAAATAATATTTAGAAACAACAATCTGAGCAGTAAGGATGTTCATTGTTGTTTTCAGTCGTATTCCTCTGAGACAGCTTTGTTGTGTGTCTTCCTTGTTTTTTTTTTTTTTTTTTTTTTTGAAGAAAAAATAAGTGATGAACCCTAAGCAAAAACGGGCAAATAAAATTGTTCTTCTCCTTTCTTTTAATTTATATGAAAATATCTTTGAATTTTGGATGTTTATATTGTCCTTCGAAACTGGAGCTTAAAGAGGTAGCTGGAATGAAAGCACTGATCTTAGAATGACATTGTTTTCTTTTGGTAAATGTGAAATAAGAAAAATTGCCCATATATTTAAAACTCTCCTTGATTTCCATTATATTTTATAAGGTTATTTCACAGTATGGTTAAATTGAAACATGGAACACAGTTTTTCTTTTTTTTTCTTTTTCTTTTTCTTTTTTTTTTTTTTTTTTTTTTTTGGAGGTGGAATCTCACTCTGTCGTCCAGGCTGAAGTGTAGTGGTGCAGTCTCGGCTCCCTGCAATCTCGGCTCCCTGCAACCTCTGCCTCCCTGCAACCTCCACCTCCCAGGTTCAAGCAATTCTCCTGCCTCAGTCTCCCAAGTAGCTGGGACTACATGCACACCCTGCCACGCCCGGCTAATTTCTTGTATTTTAGTAGACAGGGGGTTTCACCATGTTACCCAGATTGGTCTCGAACTCCAGAGCTCAGGCAATCTGCCCACCTCTGCCTCCCAAAATGCTAGAATTATAGGCGTGAGCCACCGTGCCCTGCCGATTTTTAATTTTATTGAGAATACAAAGGTGTGGCTGGTCTCCACACAACTGGTCGTAAAGTTACATTGTAAAATGTAAAGAGGTGAGGAGAGGCTGTAAGCTCTGTTATTTATTCCTGGGTCCTTTGATACTACTTTCCCATTCAGAGGTCTCATTATTTTCTCCTTTTGATCCTTAGACTTTTTCAATATCTTAGGTAAATATCCGATTTCTATTTCAAGTTTACTTTATAAACACTTAAAATCCTCAGAATGTCAACAGAAAGAAGCAGTTAAATCGTTATTAATATGTATATTCTTGCTTGGCATCTTGCTCTGTTTATCTGAAGACGTACCCTCTTCCCCCAACCCTCCCACTCCCAACACACGTGAACATAAGATTTTGAGTGCTGGCCAGGTGCGGTGGCTCACACCTGTAATCCGAGCACTTTGGGAGGCCCAGGTGGGCAGTTCACGAGGTCAGGAGATAAAGACCTAACTGGCGAGCACGGTGAAACCCTGTCTCAACTAAAAATACAAAAGATTAGCCAGGCATGGTGGCACGCACCTGTAATCCCAGCTACTAGGGAGACTGAGGCAGGAGAATCTCTTGAACCTGGGAGGCAGAGGTTGTAGTGAGCCGAGACTGCGCCACTGCACTCCAGCCTAGGCAACAGAGTGAGACTCTGTCTCAAAAAAAAAAAAAAATTTTTTTTTTTGAGTGCCTAGGAAATATCTTTCAGAGTAACATAGTCTACAGGTCTGCCTTAACCTGTTTATTCTGCCCACATCTTCTAATAAATCATAGATTGGGTGTCTTGACTTCTGGTGACTCAAGGGATTTGGTCTCTACAAATACATTGAAGTATCTGTTTTTCTTTGGAGCTATGCCAATCTACATTTTGCCTGAAGGAGAAAATTGCCTCAGGGGACGCAGAGTTCTTTGGTATTATTTGCTTTGCTTGGTAGCTCAGGAGGCATTTTCCTCTTTCAGAAAACACCATATAAAATAATAATAATTTGCAAGGTAAATAAGGAAGTGATTGTTTTAAAAATCACATAGGTCCTTTAAAGCTTGGTCGGTTGGTTTACCTTTAGAATCTTCAGAAAAATTTAGTTTATACACAACTCTTTTCCAAACACATTGATTGTAAAAAATGTGACCTGTTCTCACTGTCTGGGCTATAACCTGCTGTTGTATCATGTTGATATAGTACAGTGTTCAGCCAGGATTTGAAATTTAGGATCAACTTTCCATTTTACCGTAGTAAATTTCAGATCTGATTGTATGTTTTAAGACACTGCATGATCTTTCTCAGCAGAAAAAAACTTGCCTTAGGAAAGCGGAAGAATGCAGTACAGGTATTTTACTATGCTCAGAGCAATCCGAAAGGAAACACAAGGGAAAATAACATACATGTCAGAGGACCCTAGAGATATTATGTGTTATGTATCACAGAGCAGGAAGGAACCAGAAACTCAACTCCCTTCCTAGAAATTCTACCCCTCTGATGGTAAGCAATCAAAAAGCATCTCAGATCATTTATAAATGAAGTTAAATCAGGCTGTGGAAGTAGCTAAAGTAAAGCACAATCAAATTGTTATATTTATTCTGAAAAAGTAGGTATGGTTTAAAGGGAAGTTAGTCTGGAAAGTTCAGAGCCATGAAAAGCAACACGTCATATTGGCAGACGGGCACTTCTGTTATTCAGTCCATCTCTGCTTCCTTTTTTGTCTTCTCTTGTTGTGAAGTATTTTTTGCACAGTTTTCCCCAAACCCTTGTTTTGGTGATCGGAAATCCTTGTCTTCAGTGTTCCAGATAACATACAGCCTATTAAAAACAGCCTTGCTTCAGAGTTGCTTTCAAAGATGAATTTTCATCAAGAATTCAAACCTACATTGTAGTAGAGAACTCTAGGTCTCACCAGACCGCCTGCTGCTGCCACCAGCCTCCTAATCCAGCTGGAGCGTGTTCAAGTTCTGAAACAGGACATTTCTCAATAGAGAGCCCAAGAGATTTCTGTTATAATCAGGAAGAGCTTCTGTTTTTTTTTTGTTGTTGTTGTTGGTAGAGACGGGGTTTCATCATGTTGGCCAGGATTGGTCTCAATCTCCTAACCTCGTGATCCGCCCGCCTCAGCTTCCCAAAGTGCTGGGATTACAGGCGTGACCTATCACGCCTGGCCAGGAAGAGCTTCTTTCCCCTCCCCAACCAACAAAATTACCAGTAATAAGACAGCTTTGGATCCTTTTTGGAACGTGGAGAGGTGTTGGTAGAAGATTTGTGCACACTACCTTGAAGGCTGTCTGCTTCTTAGAGAGCTCCACACTGCGGGAGACCTAGTTAATCCTGTAGGAATGACAGTAGTTAGCTCTGATCTGGGCAGCATTCATCATGCATTTCATTCATCTCTCTGTTGTTCAGACCATTTCCTTTAGGTCCAAATGATCATGATCT